CCACTCCAGGGGGCTTCCTCCACCGAAGAGTCTTGTAAAGTGACTGCGGTGGCGCAGTTGCCGGCGCACACAGCGACCCGAGTTCAATTTGCTGCCACGGCCACCATCAGTGGTGATTCACAGCCGAACCGGTCCCGATCTCCGCCTCAGCAGCTCGCAGTCACTCACAACGTGCACGCCACCCAGCATCCATGCCACCTCGTTGAAGGGATAAACACGCCAATGTCCCTCGATCTTCGTCCAAAACCGCGTGGGTGCCTCTGGGCCACACGTGGCCACGTTGTGGGCGTCTGAGCAGCGACGACAGCTACCACAGTGGCCGCACCTCTGCCCCGTGCCCTTGCTCGGCAGCTTAATCGGCCGGGGCCGCCAGGCACTCACAGCGCCGCCCGCCCCGATGCCATCGCAGCGGCGCCCACAGAAATGAGCCCTGGCGCAGCTCCCGACGCGACCATAATCCGCGTAGAATGATTAACGGCCACCACGACGACGACGATGATGATGAGGATAGTCAAACACTCGGCGGGGCCAACAAAGAGGACCTTTATTGGCCCGGAGCCCTCTCCTGCACCGCGTGCTCCCCCAGCGTTACCGACGGGGAGCGCGCGCGTGCGAGCGGGGGGGGGGGGGGGGGCTGTGTGGTCCCGCGTGCGAGCCGGGGGGGGGGCCCGGGGTGGTCTCCCTTGCGAGCGAGGGGGGGGGGGCGGCTGTGTGCTCCCCCTGTTGTCGGTGTTTGCGGTGAGCTGAGACATTTCCAGTGACGCACGCGGATGGGACCGCCGTCGGCAGGATGTATGAGCGTGCCTCCTGCCGAGAGGCGATGCTGCTGCTGATGAAAGCTGATGATGATGCTGATGATGATGCTGATGCTACTGATGAGTGTCCTTTGCCTGCCGTGCGTTTTGGAGGCTCCCAGGCTCAAAGTGTAAATGCGTCTGCACGGCCCTTCCCTCTGTGCGCAACGGAGAGTCACGATCACCTTCGAAAGACGATCCAATATGAACCAGACGTGTTCTGTAAAGTCGTGCTGCCGTCAGCGGCTTCAGCTCGAACCGGCCGCGTTGATAAAACGAGGCCGCTCAAAACGCGCGTCGTCTGGCGCGTGTCTCGCAAGCATCGGGGACCGCGTGGAGAGATGCACGCTGGGAATTACCCCGAGAGACAGAAAGAGGAACACTCGGATTAGAGAACATACGTTAGTTCGTGGCATCATTCAAACCATTAAGTGGGGCTTGGGAAGTGCACGTCGACAGATGGGATGGAGCGATTAAATCAGCTCGTGTGTCGGTGCTGGGTGGTTTATCACAATCATAGGATCGTTAAACATTTTGGTGGATTGGGGATGCCTTCATCCAGCAGTGGATAGACTATGGTTGATGATGATTGTGATCGTATCGTATATTTCACCTCGCTGCACGCCGACAGCAGCAGGTGATGCTGTAACTGGCGCTTGACAACTCGACATCTCCTGTGGCAGCTCAGCCATTGCGATCGACTCCGGGAGGATTTACTCCACAGCACAGCGAGGATCGCCTCTGACAGCGCCAGTTTGGCAGGACCCTCCTGAAACCCGAGTCACGAGACGACTCGGTGAGGCGTTCCCGAGTAAGCAGGCGTAACAACAAGAACTATATTCTTACGTAATCACAGTCACGGCGCAGTTGAGTCGCGCGTTAGCCGGAGTCGGGAACACGAAAGGGCCATTTAGATGCCGCGTGCTAGGAGGGTGCCGCGGGGCCTGGGGGGGGGGGGGGGTCGCCGTGGTAACGGCCGCGTCCCCGGCGGTGGCCACGCGGCGAGCGCCGTGGTCGCGAAGGCGACGCGCGACGAAGGCCGCCCCCTGCGGTCCCCAGCGTGGTCAAGTATGGTCAAGTAACACGATACGTGATGGCAGTAAACGTGACGTTTCGCGCAATGATCCAGTTTTAAAAGCACACACGTCGTGCCGTGAAGAAGGGCTATCACCCGAAGCATCACGTGCTATATATTGTTTACTTTTAATGCGACGGTGTTATTGATGAATGTCCCCCAGTGTGGTAGTGGACCCCAGGGTGGGAGTGGGCCCCAAGGTGGGCCCCAGGGTGGGAGTGGGACCCCAGGGTGGGAGTGGGCCCCAGGGTGGGAGAGGGCCCCAGGGTGGGAGAGGGCCCCAGGGTGGGCCCCCAGGGTGGGAGTGGGCCCCAGGGTGGGAGTGGTCCCCAGGGTGGGAGTGGGCCCCAGGGTAGGCCCCAGGGTGGGAGTGGGACCCAGGGTGGGAGTCACCCCCAGGGTGGGAGAGGGCCCCAGGGTGGGAGAGGGCCCCAGGGTGGGAGAGGGCCCCAGAGTGGGCCCCAGGGTGGGAGTCAGCCCCAGGGTGGGAGTAGGCCCCAGGGTAGGCCCCAGGGTGGGAGTGGGCCCCAGGGTGGGAGTCACGCCCAGAGTGGGAGAGGGCCCCAGGGTGGGAGAGGGCCCCAGGGTGGGCCCCAGGGTGGGAGTCACCCCCAGGGTGGGAGAGGGCCCCAGGGTGGGAGTGGGACCCAGGGTGGGAGAGGGCCCCAGGGTGGGAGTAGCCCCAGGGTGGGAGAGGGCCCCAGGGTGGGAGAGGGCCCCAGGGTGGGAGAGGGCCCCAGGGTGGGAGTGGGACCCAGGGTGGGAGTCAGCCCCAGGGTGGGAGTGGGACCCAGGGTGGGAGAGGGCCCCAGGGTGGGCCCCAGGGTGGGAGAGGGCCCCAGGGTGGGCCCCAGGGTGGGAGTGAGCCCCAGGATGGGAGAGGGCCCCAGGGTGGGAGTGGGACCCAGGGTGGGAGAGGGCCCCGCGACACCACGACCATCGGCAAGACACCCGGCTGCTGGGCAATCCAGCCGCCTAATTTAATGTCCGCTCTTAAAAATCTCCCTCCGCGGTTTACTGCCTCCTCCTCCTCCCCCTTGTGTTGTTGCCCCCTGCATTACCCTGGGCCTGCCGCTATCCCACCCCCTGCTCCCAGATCCAGTGTCCCCCCCTCCCTCGGTCCCCTGCTACCCCTCAGTGGTTGTCATGGCGCTCGGGAAGAGCGCGTTAACGATGGCATGCGGAGTGATCCCTGCCGCAGCGCAGCGCTGCTCAGCACCGATTAATCACCGCCGATTAGCTATGCCGCTACACAGGTGCCGCCGTTAAATCATTTGCCACTGTGCAGATGGTCCGCAGGGAGCGCGGCAGTCTCGCCTGTGGGGGTGGGGCGAGGCGAGTCGATGGCCCTGGTGGTGGTGATGACGGTGGTGGTGGCGGCGTTGGTTGTGGCGGCTGTGTGCATAGGTGGTGTGCATATGCCGGCCATCTCAATCGACCCAGAACACATGGGTCTGTCCTGTGACCTGCCAGCGAGTCTTACAACACATTTCACGTGGCCCCAAAGTGCACCTAGCCTGGCACAAGCGCCGTAATGACGTTACCACCACTTCGTGGCGAACGGCGCTTGTTGATGTGTAGACCCAGGGCCCATGGCAGCCTCGTAGCTGCTATAAGAAGAAGAATAGCTGCTTTAGAGTTCTGTGTGAAAGGTGAAACTTGACTCTGGAGGTCCGCGAGCGACACCGCGGCTCCGGGTGGCGGTGTCGGTGGGCACTCGAGGCCTCGTGTGGAGCGTCGCTCCGGGCGAGAGGTGACGATGCCTTCTATTGTCCGCTCACCGTCACCGCAGTCACACTGGGACCTATCTTTGATCTTCAAAGTGAAAAAGCAGCTCTGCTTAGATTTTGAGTTAGAAATCTGAGCTCCCATTCCAGATCAAATTTTTCCCCCACCCAACTTTATTCGAACGGTGCTATCGGTGTCGTCGTGCTATGAAGAAGCGTCCATTGAGAGCTCTCTCCGAGAAGGAGGAGGGCATCAACTCATGAGAGCAGTCATAGGTGGCCATGCCGACACCCTCAACTCGCTGCACTCGAGGGCCCGGTTCAATCACGGGTAGCTGGACCCCGGATTCGAACCCAGATATTCAGCAAAGCCGACTCAGTGCTCTGATCCCGCGACACCCGGCCCACTCCCCATCTCAGCGCGAGTAAGACCGCCACCAGCATGACGCGCAATAAAGGTGCGAGCTTGGTCACCGCTGATGTGCCTGATACAAACACTGAACAAAGTGAACTTTGGCGTGCTGTGTGTGAGAGAGAGAGGGAGCTCGGCGAGTGCAGTGTTTGTACTGCACGGGGGGTGGACGTGTTGACGGGTCACTCTCTGCAGCGAGATGAATCGACGAGCGAAGGGCGTTGGTGGGGCGATTGCAGCGTCACTGCCGACGGCTGAGTAGTCTCCGTCCTCGGCGTGCGCTCGTGTGTCGCGAGGCTCTGCTTCCCCTGAGCGGCTCTCCAATTCACCGATACAGGTGAAGCACCTGTTAGAATCGAAGTTGGCACTGGGCCGTCCGCGCAGCGCCACTGCGAGTCCACGGACTGCGTCGTGAGCACGGCCGGCGGTCACGTCGCCTGGCGGACCAGATACACTTTAAAATAACGGGGCTTGTTCCAAATATTGTGATGGTCTTTGAGCCACACCAGGACGTCCTCTCAGTGTCTCTTAGCCGCCCACAGTGGCTGCTCCCCTGTCACCACTCAGGCGAGTACTGTAGATCTCAACGACGACGCGGGCATAATCACCTGGAGACCTCTGCTTCCTCTCAATATGGCATTTGTGCGGGGGGGTGGAGGGGTGGCGGCTGCAGTGGCGATCCACACAATTAACTCGGGGGAACTTGGGCCTAATCTCTTCCGAGCTCCAAAAAAACTGGATTACTGGCCGGGCCCACGGGCCCGCAGAACGCTGCTTGAATGGGAGCCCTCGTTAGAGAGACTCGCCAAGGGCCCTGAGGGCTGCACTTTCTTCCCCTCTCCTTCGCAGGAGCTCGTTAGGAGCGCGGTTTTTTACGATCCCTTTGTTGAGCGGTAAGACCCATTCAAGTAAACATTTTAACATCTGTGGGAGAGGAGGGCAGCCCCCCTCCCCACCCAGCCCCCCACCCCTACCCCCTATTAAAACCAGGCTACACGACTGCCAGGACCCACCTCAGTGCTAGAACGACGCCGACCGCATACCAAGTCCGGTGTGGAGCGGCGTGGCGCTCGCCAACGAAGGCGCTGGCTCTGGGGCGCGCTCATGGCCACGATGGGCGTCTCATGAACCACCAGTGCCGCAGCAGTGCGCTGATAACAAGTCAACACACACGTCAATAATAATGCCCTTGCAGAGGTAAACATATTTATGATGGACGACATTTCGGGCAATGACTCCTGATAGCAGAGAGCGAGAGACAGGCCAGAGAGGCTGAGGGACTAATAGTTCGTAACGAATGTAACTCACTTAACTACCAACTATTGGTCATGCACGCAAAATTAATTTTAAAATTATCAGAAATTAAACGTGTCATTTGCTGTATAAAAGCAGTGTCCCCTTCGCACGGCCGCGTCTGCACCCGGACAACAAAAGTGTCACTGAGACAGAGAAACGGCACCATCGCTGACTCATCACCTGGACACGAGAACCCCGCGACGGTTCCCACGTGCAGCTTCTCATCAGCATGTTGAAGGGGGCGCATTGTCTGCTTATGTTGTCATGATGAGAATGTCGGTCAGTGATTGGGAGACAGGCATCCCGTAGTCGCCGACTTTCTGCCCAAAGGATTACAGTGAGAGACGTCACTCCATTGGCTGCCCCGTGCAGTGCTGGACATTCTACATTCCCGTGACGGGGGCCAGTCTGCACGGGACGACCGCCGTTAACGTCCCACATAGTAGTACTGATTTTATTGACCTTGGCCGGCTGATGGGTTACCTGAAACTGAGATGGGGATGTTGTGGCTCTGCGATTGTGCAACGTGTGCGCAGGATGGTTTTTAAATTTAACCTTTGAAGCCTCAACAATAGTACATCTGGACATCAAAACTGATTCCTGAAATAGTCTAATCAATTAAGGCGACATCAAACACTCTGTTCATGACTCTAATGAATAAATGAATAATTTGCGGTGAAATATACTGCCTAATTACCTTTCCTTTCCATCAGAGAAATGCTAATTATAAAGGAGGGTACAGAAGAGGGGGTGACGGGGGTGGATTGTAATTTAGCCCTGCTCCTGGTCCAACTTATACGTCCACTCGGTCAGTCGCGAGATCTATATTCACTTGAGATGTGGTCGTGTGTTAGAAGGCCACGTGAGTCCAGATTGCACTGTCGTGTTTATAGCACGACAGTACTGACCCCATCGCACAATTAACTTCCGTTGGGCCAATAACAGTACAAGACTAGCCCACAGGTACTCCGCTAGAGTTGCCACCTGTCCTGATTTTCCCAAGAGACTCTTCTTGTCGAGGAGGCAGCTGCTGATCTTAGAAATCTCTCAATCTTCCCGGGACATTAAACGTCAATAGTCCCTGGTTTTGTCAGCTACATGCCAGTGAGGTGTGCTTCTCCCATATTAAGGTATTGCGAGATCTTCTTAACCCCATGATGTGTCGCCCCTCTTTTATTTGTTACAATTGCATTTGACAAATATAACCTCGTCGCCGTACCCATCGGAAGTGTGATCACAACCGTCACGGTGACGACCCGCACTGGACTCCCCAACACGGAGGGTTTCATCCGGGCGCGCAGCTCGCAGCTCGCCTTCAACAAGCCGACGTCCGGCTGGCCCGGTCCCGCCATCGACCGTCGAAAGTAGACGCGGAACTTGTCCCCGACCGTGTGTGGGCCTCGCCCGGTGCCGCTCGCGGACCGTCGCGCGCCGTGACGCACGCCGCGCCTGTCCAGAAGGAGGCCTGGCGAGGGACGATGGATCCCAACACGAGCAGAAATGCTCCATTGATGCTTGTTTAGTCTTCTTTCCTACGGCAGGAGGGATGTGCAACAGTGTTGGAACGTGTTTGAGTTGAATGTTGTGTCAATTACGCTTGCAAACGAGATTTATCCTGGTCACGTGAGTGCTCCCCTGGGTAAATCAAGCGATCTTGAACCCTTTGTATCTGAGAGGGGGAAACCCTCTATCCCGATAAGGACACTGACCCATCGCTGGCCCTTCACGGCAACTCGTGGGTCACCATTACCTGCTGCTCACGCCGTGCCTCGTCAGCAGCACAAATGCCAAGAACACAGAGAGCGTGTAAGTATTTATTTTTTCTAAACTCAAGATTGAGGTCGCGTGCAGAAAAGTCGCTCTGCAAACACAAAACGCGGTGATCCAGCACAGCCCATGGGAGGCGGACTTTGTGTGGACAGACAGAGGAGCCTGATTACCCGAGGCCTCACCTCCCGGCCTGTCGCAGAGATCACAACAAATTGCATAACGCGGAGAGGAATGTCATCACGCCGTATCTCCATCTGCCTTCGCGAGCAAGCGAGCGGCATAGAGATGTCACGGCCGAGACGCGTGAGACATAAATAGCTGTGAGCCCCCCCCCCACCTCCCTTGGCAAAAAAAATAAAAATACAATATACTGGTTATGGAGATGCATAGTGGAGATAGGCGAGGGAGGGAAGAGAGAGAGAGAAAGAGGGAGATAGCGCGAGGAGATATAGGGGGCTGAGAGGGCTTTCATTAAACAGCGGAAATGAAAGTGGGGGTCATGTGGTGACAGGAGCTGATACACAGATGAGCACAAAGCGGGGAATGGCTCCAGCTGCCTCCGTGTGGGTGGCTGAGGTCCAGAATTCGTGTTGCAATTATGAAGCTTAATTATTACCCTTTATTCTCTGTTAAGAAACTTTATTTGGACAAACAAAATCTCGATCGTTGAGATGCGGAAACATCCTGTAAATACTTACGGTATATGAACAAGTGATACATTTAGATATTGTCTGGACTGATTAACAAATTGAGAGCAAAATCGAGTGAGGTATGTTGATTACAATATTGCGATTCGTGTGCTTGATGAGGCTTTACCGGGACTGAGTTTGGGTCGTAATTCTGGCAACTTGAGCGCGTGACTTTGTTATGTACGCTATGCAGTCGCGAATGCGGCGGCGATGTTCACAGTAGAGGGCTGGGTTCCGGTTCGCCACACACAGGCCGAAGATGCTCCACTGGGCTCGTCGATTCACGCTCTCTCGTGGGGAAGTCGCTGTTGGCAAGGGGCCCTCTGAGCCCTGGGCCCACCAAACCATCCGGTGTCAACGCCGACTCATAACCACGTGCGATCTCGTCCCACCGCGGACGAGGGACGGCTCTCTCTGAGCCGGGTTTTGTTTCGCGGGAGGTGATCAAAACGACGGACACGCCGCGTTCCGCCTTCCCGGCCACCTGCGAACACGAGCATACAACGCCGAACAATACAATATGCATATATAGTGTCTAATTAGTGTGTCTAATTAGTTGATATCTCGTCATGCTGCGTGGCAGTGGCGGGCGATGTGGGCGACGTCACAAGCGTATTTGACGGGGTTTGGGAAGAGTGGTACGACTTCAATGGTTGACACTCCTCCGTCAATCCACTGCTGGATGAAGGTCTGCTCATGCAGTATCCCCTCACTTGGACTCTCGAGTCCCTCGTGTGGGTGGTGGCTGGGACTCGAGTCAGGTGCCGTGCAAGTGGGAGAATAATATAACGGAATAAAATAAAAGTACACTTGACTAAATTGAACTTCGCACAACTGTGAGAATAATTCTCAGCAAATGGAAGGTTTTACACAAATAATAAAGAGTAGTTTTGTTCATGTAGCGCCCCATACAGCTGGGCGTCACACAGCGCGCTGCTCGCGAGACGTTGATGTTAAAGTTGATGAATAAAGTCACCACAAACACGGCTTCTAAATTATCTGCGCTCTTCCCTTTACTTTCTTCACATGCGATAGCCACACACTTTTTAGGAAATTCACCAAGTCACAGATCATTGAACGCACACTTCCCACTCCTACGACCGCCGATAGGCGCTAATTTTCCAAATTCTCCAAAAGAAATGTGGACTTCCACTTTCCTCTCCGCCGTTTTAGAAAAGTCTCCCGTGTGGACCGCACCGGCGTCGGCACTTCCATGCCCGCTCAATGGACCCCCCCCGCCCCTGCAACTCGCGAGCTCCACCACAATGAGGGCCATTCTTCACCAAGTGGCGGTGATGTCACCGCGCAGCCCCGTGCCAGGCGCGGTGAATTCCGACCCTACATTGAGTATTCAGGGCGAACTGACAGCGGATCACGGGACGGACCCAGATGCCGGCCTGAATGATTGGCGTGCGCACCGGGCCCTCTACCCCCCCCCCACCTACCCCCCTTGGCCTCCCCAGCCTCCCCCGCCTCGAGGTTCTGCTCGCCCCACATTGAGCTCTTCTCGTAGCTGACAGCATTCTTCTCCCACAGAGTTCATCGCTGCCTGCCGTCCCTTTGCCATCATTCACGAATCTGCTCGACACGCGATCTGTGCTGTGCCTCACAGCTCTCCGACGCGTTATTGGGCTGAACCGCGTGTCGGTCCGCACGTTGTCCGACGTTTTTCTCCGCGCGCCCGGCTGATTTTGTCCGCTGGACATCGCCATCGCTGCGCCTTCCCGTCACGCGCCACACGCTCCGGGCCATCGATCGGCCACCCGAAAAAAACATTCAGTGAGAAATTAAGCCCCGCCGAAAGCGCAGCTGAAATGCTAATGGGAACACGGTGAGTTGGGCTTCCCAGGACCTCTCTCACTGTACCCTGTCTCCACATTCCGTGTCTCCCATGCAATGCATCTCGAAACGCCCTGCTGCGGCCTAGCCAAGGCGGCCCCCCAGCGACAGCTGTCCCTGTAAAGCGCAAGGTGCACGAAGCGTAGACCTGCAAGTGGCAGTCTCCCGCCAGCGGGACGCCGTCGCCACGCCACTTTCCCATTGACTAATTCGCGAGTAATTGTTATGGCATTCGGTAAATCGGTGCCGCAATGCCAGAAAACATGACCTCATCGTGTTTTCCAATGACGTCACTGGATCTTTGACGTCCACCGCGGAGCAGGCGGGACGTGGAGTCTTTGGTGCGGGTGACACCGCAGACGCCGCTCGCAAGCCCACGGTGCGCGGTCTCAGCTCTGCCGTATCGCGCGCATCGCGCCCGACCCTTCCGCTTTAGAGTCCGACCTTTTCGGGGTCAAACGCTTTGAGTTGCGGCCGCGAAACTTTTTTTGTTTTTATCGGCGACGTGACTCTTGGTCATTTTTTTTAAAAAGGCACAAACGACTCCCGCTCACCCTTCGCTGCCCGAAAGGTTGAGCGTGCAGCTGCCGATATGGGGGATGCGTGGCAGTGGACGCGTGAATGTCACTTCCCATCTGATAAGGCGTGTCGTGCTTTGTGTGCCGTGCGCTGCGTGGGTGTGGGTGACATTTGAAGAGGTTCAGATTGGTATCTGCACTCCCTGTGTGGTGCATGCGAGTGTGTGGGCAGGTACTTGCGCAAATGTGATTGCGTGCGTGTGTGCGTGTGTGCGTGCGTGTGCGTATGTACGTGCGTGCGTGTGTGCGTGTGTGCGTGCACTTGTGTAATGGCAAACCTGCTGCGTTACGAACCCCGGCGATCCGAGTTCGATTCTCGCTCATGGTCACCATCACCAGTGCCGATTATGTGAACCGGTCCTGAAACTCCCCAAGGTCGAATCAGCCTCAAACGAGTACCTGGTGCGGTGTAAACATCGCCACTGGGGAGACAAAGGCGGCCAGGCGTGGTGACGGTCACCCACCCCCTTGTATTCCGTGCCAGACTTCATATGTACTCGTTGACAGCCCTTACCCCAATAGTCTGTTAAAGACTGTAGGGAAATCTTTGTATTTGTGTGGGATGCGCGCTTGTGTTGGTGGGGTGTAGGGGTACGTTCGGAGCCGGTATGTGAGAGAGGTGCATGCGAGGTCGTTGTGGGGTTTTTCTGTCTGTGTAATAAATAACGACTCCTAGGTACAGCAGCGTTGACAGCTGCAATGTGGAGCTAAGGTAATGGACATTACCAAAGCCACTTCGCGGTAATGTGTTTTTAACACCATTTATTTTGGTTGACGTTAGAATACTCCAAAAGTACACAAACCCCAGTTAAATTTCAGTAAAAGTAAATAACATTTGATGCAGAAATTAATAATCGTCAGCCATGGTCGACCCACTGCTGGATGAAGGAGGCCTCCCCAGATTACCGCCACGTCTCACGATCCTGCGATGCAGTGATCCACCTGGCACCTGCTCCTCTCAACGCAGCGATGGAGCCGGAGTGAGTTCCTGTTCACGAGAGCATTGGGGCTCATCGGCTGTTCCCAGCTCTTAGCCAGTGGTTAAGGTTTCACATTCCTCTGGCAGGGTCAAGTTTATCCATCGGAAAATACATTTTACTTAATTTAGGATGATGTGGGCTGACTCAACCCCAGCCACGATTTGAACTCACGACCTTGCGATGGCGAGTCGCTCGCTCGGCCTTCTGGGCCTCACGGCCGCAGTCATCGCATCACACGCAGCAGATTTCCCCTGACGGCGCTGTGCGTGCAGCCGCCTTGGGCAGTGACGCGATCCGGTGGCTGTTCAGTGTCTGGGCCCCTTACGCAGGACACTCCTTAAGTATGGCTCGAGTTTCACTTTTCCGAGTCTCTTTCCCAGGTGCCCTGTTTCATGTTTTGCCTTCTCCATTATTCACGCGGTGACACCGGCGAGCGAGCCAGAGCGTAAGCAGTTGACACGGATCGCTTAATGAGACGGCGTTTCCATCTTCCACTGATCCGCCAACCCCAGACAAACAAATTACCGACAGCTGATTTTTTTCTACATACCAAAAATGTCCAAACGATTTTGGGTTAACAGCCCCCTAGCACAAACATAATCAGAATCTTTATTTATACTGCATGAGGAATCCGAAAAGCTATGAAGCTCTTTTTCACAGATGTCCCGTTTGGGCATGTTAGAAATTTACAACAAACCATACAGAAAAGCAAATCACAATTCTTTTTTTTTTACCATTTTTTATTTTACCAGGTAAGGCCCACTGAGCTTCGTTTTCAGAAGCAACCTGGTCGCAAATGATAGCTCAACGAAGTGGATGGTCATGTGGAAATGTATATCAGCCAAATAATAATAATAATGTGCCTTTGTACCGGTTAGAGGCCTCTGTCAAAGTAGACCTCCCCGTGTTGCGTTGTGAGGGCTGTTCAAACATACTTCACCACGCTCGCAAGTGCGGGCGGGTGAAGGGAGATGGGGTGTTATCACTCGCCACTGACGTTAGCCGTGGTCAGGCGTTGAACTGAGGACGCGATCCAGTTTCTCGTTTTCGGATCGTACAGCACCAGCTGAATAGGTACTGAACAAGCCCCCCCCCCCCTCCACCGACAACGTGAAACGGAACGTCGGACATCGTGCCCAACATCACGGGAAAGCCGCCGTGTGCCCCCCTTCCCTGGTTCCCAGTCCAGCTCGAGTCCGGCAGAGCCTTGCAGAGAGTCGTGCAGAGTCCACTAGAGAGTCCACTAGAGAGTCCACTATCTAGTCCACTAGAGAGTCCTACAGAGAGTCTACTAGAGAGTCCTACAGAGAGTCCACTAGAGAGTCCTAAAGAGCGTCCACTAGAGAGTCCACTAGAGAGTCCACTAGAGAGTCCACTAGAGAGTCCTACAGAGAGTCCACTAGAGAGTCCTAAAGAGCGTCCACTAGAGAGTCCACTAGAGAGTCCACTAGAGAGTCCACTAGAGAGTGCACTAGAGAGTCCTACAGAGAGTCCTACAGAGAGTCCACTAGAGAGTCCACTAGAGAGTCCACTAGAGAGTGCACTAGAGAGTCCTACAGAGAGTCCTAGAGAGAGTCCACTAGAGAGTCCACTAGAGAGTCTACTAGAGAGTCCAATAGATAGTCTACTAGAGAGTCCACTAGAGAGTCCACTAGAGAGTCCACTAGAGAGTGCACTAGAGAGTCCTACAGAGAGTCCTATAGAGAGTCTACTAGAGAGTCCACTAGAGAGTCTACTAGAGAGTCCACTAGAGAGTCCTGCAGAGAGTCTACTAAAGAGTCTACTAGAGAGTCCTACAGAGAGTCCACTAGAGAGTCCACTAGAGAGTCTACTAGAGGCTCCACTAGAGAGTCTACTAGAGAGTCCACTAGAGAGTCCACTAGAGAGTCCACTTGAGAGTCCACTAGAGAGTCTACTAGAGAGTCCACTAGAGAGTCCTACAGATAGTCTACTAGAGAGTCTACTAGAGAGTCCTACAGAGAGTCCACTAGAGAGTCCTACAGCGAGTCCACTAGAGAGTCCACTAGAGAGTCCTACAGAGAGTCTACTAGAGAGTCTACTAGAGAGTCTACTAGAGGGTCTACTAGAGAGTCCTACAGAGAGTCTACTAGAGAGTCCACTAGAGAGTCTACTAGAGAGTCCAATAGAGAGTCCACTAGAGAGTCTACTAGAGAGTCCACTAGAGAGTCTACTAGAGAGTCCACTAGAGAGTCTACTAGAGAGTCCTACATAGAGTCCACTAGAGAGTCCTACAGAGAGTCTACTAGATAGTCATGCAGGTAATCCACTAGAGAGTCCTACAGAGAGTCTACTAGAGAGTCCACTAGAGAGTCTGCTAGAGAGTCCACTAGAGAGTCCACTGGAGAGTCCACTAGAGAGTCTACTAGAGAGTCCACTAGAAAGTCCACTGGAGAGTCCACTAGAGAGTCCACTAGAGAGTCTACTAGAGAGTCCTACAGAGAGTCTACTAGAGAGTCTACTAGAGAGTCCACTAGAGAGTCCACTAGAGAGTCCAACAGAGAGTCTACTAGAGAGTCCTACAGAGAGTCTACTAGAGAGTATACTAGAGAGTCTACTAGAGAGTCTACTAGAGAGTCCTACAGAGAGTCTACTAGAGAGTCCACTAGAGAGTCCACTAGAGAGTCCACTAGAGAGTCCAACAGAGAGTCTACTAGAGAGTCCTACAGAGAGTTTACTAGAGAGTCTACTAGAGAGTCTACTCGAGAGTCCTACAGAGAGTCTACTAGAGAGTCTACTAGAGAGTCTACTAGAGTGTCCACTAGAGAGTCTACTAGAGAGTCCTACAGAGAGTCCACTAGAGAGTCCTACAGAGAGTCCACTAGAGAGTCCACTAGAGAGTCTACTAGAGAGTCCACTAGAGAGTCCACTAGAGAGTCCACTAGAGAGTCCTACAGAGAGTCTACTAGAGAGTCCTGCAGAGAGTCCACTAGAGAGTCCACGAGAGAGTCTACTAGAGAGTCTACTAGAGAGTCCTACAGAGAGTCTACTAGAGAGTCTACTAGAGAGTCTACTAGAGTGTCCACTAGAGAGTCTACTAGAGAGTCCTACAGAGAGTCCACTAGAGAGTCCTACAGAGAGTCCACTAGAGAGTACACTAGAGAGTCTACTAGAGAGTCCACTAGAGTGTCCACTAGAGGGTATACTAGAGAGTCCTACAGAGAGTCCACTAGAGAGTCCTACAGAGAGTCCACTAGAGAGTCCACTAGAGAGTCTACTAGAGAGTCCACTAGAGAGTCCACTAGAGAGTCCACTAGAGAGTCCTACAGAGAGTCTACTAGAGAGTCCTGCAGAGAGTCCACTAGAGAGTCCACGAGAGAGTCTACTAGAGAGTTCTACAGAAAGTCCACTAGAGAGTCCACTAGAGAGTCCTACAGAGAGTCTACTAGAGAGTCCACTAGAGAGTCCACTAGAGAGTCCACTAGAGAGTCCTACAGAGAGTCCACTAGAGAGTCCACTAGAGAGTCTACTAGAGAGTCTACTAGAGAGTCCACTAGAGAGTCCACTAGAGAGTCTACTAGAGAGTCCACTAGAGAGTCCACTAGAGAGTCCACTAGAGAGTCCTACAGAGAGTCTACTAGAGAGTCTACTAGAGAGTCCACTAGAGAGTCCACTAGAGAGTCCACTAGAGAGTCCACTAAAGAGTCCTGCAGAGAGTCCACTAGAGAGTCCACTAGAGAGTCTACTAGAGAGTCCTACAGAGAGTCCACTAGAGAGTCCACTAGAGAGTCCACTAGAGAGTCCTACAGAGAGTCTACTAGAGAGTCTACTAGAGAGTCCACTAAAGAGTCCTGCAGAGAGTCCACTAGAGAGTCCACTAGAGAGTCTACTAGAGAGTCCACTAGAGAGTCTACTAGAGAGTCCACTAGAGAGTCTACTAGAGAGTCCACTAGACAGTCTACTAGAGAGTCCACTAGAGAGTCCACTAGAGAGTCCACTAGAGAGTCCTACAGAGAGTCCACTAGAGAGTCCTACAGAGAGTCCACTAGAGAGTCTACTAGAGAGTCTACTAGAGAGTCCACTAGACAGTCTACGAGAGAGTCCACTAGAGAGTCCACTAGAGTCCACTAGAGAGTCCACTAGAGAGTCTACTAGAGAGTCCACTAGAGAGTCCACTAGAGAGTCCACTAGAGAGTCTACTAGACAGTAAACTAGAGAGTCCACTAGAGAGTCCACTAGAGAGTCCTATAGAGAGTCCTACAGAGAGTCCACTAGAGAGTCTACTAGAGAGTCCACTAGAGAG